TTGTTTTGTCTAAATTTCATTTAAATTGCTTATTTTACATGGAACTTGTTTAGTTTAGTTTGTAGTTTAATTAACCAACAAACCCACCTTTTGATCACTCGACCTACTAACCATATTCATTGTTTCCATTACAAACACGCCCACAATCCCTTGGGACGATCCCTACTCACCCTAACTATATTTTTAGTTAGAGATAGTAGTGACTTTTATAAATTTAAAACTTTGCCACATTGCACGCTCACACCTTTTTAGCATATTCTTAGGCGTTGGTGCGGTGACACATCATAAGTCTTGCACAAAATGAAACCCTAGGTTAGATATATTCAAGATTCATCTATACACAACCCTAGAAATTCATATAACATGCATACAATGTATATCAACTACAAGGAACACAAGATACACAAAGGATATAAACATAAGGCAACCCCTACCTCACTAGAGAATTGTATCTTTAGAAACCTCAAGGAAATGGATGCAAAGAGGGAAACAGGGCAAAGGTGTGGTGGAGATGGGTGTGAGGAAGCTTTTGTCTTCAAGATGGAAGACCAAAAGCTTAAAGGAAGAGGGTTGACAATGAGAAGTGGAGGCTAAGGTTCAAGGTGTCAACAATAGTGGTTTTGGTGAGGAAGACAACTTTTATAGAAATTCCACTAACCTAAATGCCTTTGATAGTCAATTACATTACACTAACACTACCTCTCACACACACACACATATCCACCCTCCACTTGTCATGATCCTAGGCCTCCTCACAAGGCTTGATCCAAGCTTTACACTTGTCAAAACCCTAGGCTAACAAGTGTCCCAATGGAAAGTCAATAAGTGAACCAATGGAAGTGTGACACTTGTCAAACTTTTTTAAAATTGCAAAAAGGTCTTTCCTCTAAATATTTAGCAAAAATAATTGCAAAATGATCCCTAAGACAAAATATCTCAAAATTTTAATTACGCAAATAACCCTGAAAAACGAAAATGTTTCTGAAGAAACTATGCATCCATACCCCCCGAAAATAAAAATAAACGAGCATGCTTTTCCATGAAATTAAATCATGCATTGATAGTAAAAGATAAAATAATGCAATGCACGTGGTGTCGAAAATCAATTTCGGACACCGAACCCTACCTCGGGTTCAACAAAACCCTAAGGCAAAGTGGAAAAAGAATAAATCAAACAAATAGATTAAAATAAAATAAATAAAATAAAAAAATAAATTTTGGAAAACTGAAAAAGAAAAAAAGAAGAGTCGGTCTTCACAATAAATTATGATTTAATTATATGAACTGATGTCCTTGTGATCTATAAACATAATCTATGGTTGTGGTATTTATTATATCTCTGATTTATATATTGTGGATGAGATTAATGTTTGTATGCATGTGATCATTGAGATGGCTAATAAGCTAGGCTCCTTAATATTGTACGTCATTGTTTAGATATGGCTTTGATATTGGAGGAGTATGTGGGCTGACTAATAAGTCAAGACATGCTACATTATGCCATTGTTTGATATGATATTTATTCATGGATATTATATATATATATATGGGTGCCATGATACGAACTTGAGGTCTCGGAATCTATGGTTAGGTACGAGGCATATATTGTCGGATTTGGATGGGTAACTGGAGTAGGAGATGTGTGTACCCTGGTAAAAGGGGGATTCTGGACTACTTTGTGTGTGATTTTTCCAAGAGATACCCACTACACGGTTGAGACTGCCCTATAGTCCGGTGAGAGTCTTAGTGTGTATTTATGTATATATCGACTATATAGATAGAGCATAAGTCTGGCTAGGGATGTATTAATTATCGGTTCTCTGTTTGGGATGTAGTAGAGTAGGATTTGTTCGTGAGCCTGACCCGCTATTATTTTTCAGGTGTTCGTCAGGTGTAGAGATGGTTTGTGCTAAGCAGAGACCAGTCTACTTCATTCTTCAGATTCTACATAGGAGTTTCATTTATGTTTCAGTATTCAGATGTAGACAGTTATTGTTTAGTTTGGGATTTTTATAGGGGTCCACAGAGTATGGATTCCCGACTTGTATTATTTGGAGGATTAGTTGTATCAGAAGAATTTATTATTTAATGAAAATTTATTCTGAGAATTTAATTATTGGATTATCATTTTAGTTTTTGTTTTAGTATTTTATCTATTCTTATTTGTTCTTTTGTATTCTGTGTTCGTTTATTACCAGTTTATTTTTTATATCTCCGGGTATTCTTGCGTGGGCTTGGCCAACTCGTATTCGAAAATCTGGTGGTATCATAGGTTGTGTGTATGACAAGAGAGTGAGAAGTAGGAGTCTGGGATGTGAGTAAGGTAGGATCAGGTGTCATGTGATTGTAGCAAGTTGAGTCAAAATACCAAGAACCATGTTTACCTGGTGTAGTAGAAAGAGCAGTGGAAGATGTAACTTGATAGCAAGATAAAACTTGGTTGAGAACTACCTCAAGGTCAGTTGCAGAGAAAGCAGATGAGGCAGATGTAGATTCGTACGAAGAGTTGTTGACCGGTGTTGAAGATGGTGGTGATATATATTTTGTGTTAGCCACAACTATAGTGGAGAGTCGAGCACAAGTATGACAAAAGTCAATGCTATGCCCTGGAAGTTGACAAAAAATACAGTAAAGAGATGAATGGTCCTTTTTGTTATTGGATTGCTGAGAGCCAGATCGATTGTTATTGTTACGTCCATTTGAGCCAGATTAATTGTTATTGTTGCGTCAATTGGAGCTAGACTGATTGTTATTGTTGCATCCATTTTGTTAGAAAAATGAGGCGGGGCGATCTGGTGCTGATTGAGATGGCACTGACTGAGGAGCAGAAGATGGTGTGGCTAAAACAATGAGATGATTCTGGGAATGATGAGTCTGCAAGCGTGTCTCTTCTCGAACAAGTTCATTGAGAGCTTGATCAAGTGATGGAAGAGGTGAGCGATGGAGAAGTTGACTGCGTACTGGTTTAAAATCATCATGAAAACTGATCAGAAACTGATAAAGTCGAATTTGGTTGCGATACTAGAGAAATTTCTTTGCTTCAGAAGAATGATCCCATGAAGGTTCGAAAAGAGTTAATTTATCCCATAAGCATTTCATTTAAGAGAAGAATTCATTAATTCGCTGACCTGATTCTTGTTTAAGAGTATAATGTTGAACCATTAATTGAAATTAGGGAGCCCCATCAGAACCAGAGTAACGAGAGATAAGCATGTCCCAGACCTCTTTCGATGTCTCGTAACTCCTAAATTCCATACCAATGAAAGAATTGGATGTGTTACGTAACCATGTGATGATCTTGTGATTGTTACTATCCCAGTCTTCAACACGTGTTGCATAGGCATCTGATGTCTCTTCTTTTGTTTAAGTAGGTTATGTACGATCTCCAGTGACATAGGACCATAGCTTGTGACCTTTCAGAAAGCTACATATAGATTGACTCCAAAATGAGTAATTGTCACCATTAAGAATAACTGAAATAGGGCGAGTTACTTCGTTTTGGACCATTTAGAAATCTTAAATGCAAAAAACAAACTGCAAATTCGGAATCAGCGGGAAAAACTAGGCTGAATTGGTGTTTTTTAAAAAAAATTCTGACACTGCTGATGTGGTAAAATGCTGATATGCTGATGTGGCAACTGTTAACGTGGCAGAATGACGTTACGGTGCTAACGTGGCAGGATGATGTGGCCTGGCACGTGGCGCGGCGTGGATCTGACGCACCTGGGCACGTGGCAGGGCGTGGAGGCGCGTGGCTGACGGAAAAAGGTTATAGAACCTTCTGGCATCGCGTGGGAGTGCGTGCGTGGTGTTTTTCGACTATTTTTGGTGGCTTCGGGGTGATTTGAGTGTGTTCTTTTGCCTAGTATGCTTAGAATTGCAAAAGGACTCGCTGAAACTCAAATTCGAATCCCTAACAGGATATTTGCTTGATGAACTTATTGAAAGCTATCAAAAAGAAAGAAAAAATAAAATAAAATAAAGAAGATAGAGAACTTGGCTCTGATACCTTGTTAAATATAAAAGAGAGAACTCTGTATTGTATTGATGCATTAGAAATGTATACAAAAGGAGATTATATATGAAGGGTTATGTGTGATGAACAAATAACCTTTTATATATATATATATATATATATGATAACTATATATATAATAATCTTATGTAATGTTAGAATATATTATAAAATTTAGTAATAATATATTCTGTAATATATTCTAACACACAATGAATCAATGATAAAAAATAAAAAAAATCAGTAGAGCAATTCGTCTAGTGAATACTCAGTTAAGTAATTATTGTGATCATGAGTTTGTGGGATGGATCTAAAAGCCTAAACTTAATAACCATACCAAACTCGCCCAGGGCGGCCCTGGCTAGTTTATCTCTCCTCTCCCAGTGAGTTATAAGATACATAAATTTGATATTGAGTCGAAAAATTGTTATCATTAAATTTTTTAAAAAAAATTTCCACTTTATTTCTCTCTAAATCACATTTTTTTACACTACCTTAAAAAAAAAAATTTATAGGTAAGTTACACTAGTAAAATATTAAATATGCATTCAACGTTTTCTTTTGAAGCTTTTTTTCAACAAGTTTTCTCCTCTTGCTTTCATTACAAGCTCACACTTATTTTTTTTCTTCACTGTATACTCATTGTATACTTTCTCACTTGTATTCTTTTGAAAAATTTGTAAGTATATTAGACTGAGATTTTCTAAATTTTACTTTCTGATTTCTTTTTTTAATTATTTTATTAATTTTGTTATTATAAATTAGATCACTCCCGAGTAAATCCCTCGGGAAGGTAAGAAACTACAAAAAGAAGTTACAGCCTTTCGCGGTCAACTCAAGTTTTGAGTGTCAGCATAGACTAGGCATAAAACTTTCCAAAAGCTGCTTCAGTGCTTTACGAACCTTATCTTTTATTACAAGAGCTCTGAAGTCCGTTTTTGAAGTCCGAAAGTTTGCCTATTTATCTTCTTCATCTTTGTTTACTATCAGAAAAATTATTATACCATATTCAAGTGTTACCGTTACCATATATATTGTTACAGTATAGGGTTTAGTTCACGGCTTCAAGCAAGTAAGTGCACTTTTTATTTATTTTTCAGTGTGTCTTCTGTTTGGTTTATATGTTATTTATATGGTACTAATTACTTAATTTTGTGAATGGTTTGGAAGCTAGCTAGTGTTGATGAAAATGGAAATCTTGATCAAGTGTGTCATTAGATGTCCAAAAAATGGTACTGATGAATTGGAGAAAGAAGATGCGGTAGAAAAACTTCTTCAGGATTGGAAACCTCCAGAGGTCCCTCTTTATGATGTTTATCATAGGAAAGGAATTTCTTGTCTGTGTAATGTTTTCCATAAGAAGGGAACTTTTGAATCGAAATCAGGTGGCTATGCGATCAAAACCATAGAAAAAACGGTGTCGATCCAAAATAAAGGCCAAGTTGAGCTTCAATTGCATGCAAGCCGTACCATCCAAGAGCACAAGATGAGCTACGCCTACCTCCATACGGGGTTAGTACAAGTGGGTGTGAAGCCTTTAACTAGAAAAGGTTTGAATACATCTGTGTTGGTTTTTCTTCGCGATGGTCGATTTCTCAAGTTCAAAGACTCTCTATTGGCCACCATGGAGACCTCTCTCAGTGATGGACCAGTTTATTTCAATTGTTATCCCAACTATCCAGTGTCATTAAAGGATGCCTTAGACACTTGGAAACTGTATGTTAGAACTCAAAATGGGGATGATGGAGATAATAATCAGGAGGGCTCAAAAGATATTGCTATTGTTTATAGGGTTTATTACAAAGTAATGACCTCAGCTTCTAGTCGGGGCTCAAAAGTGTCACTCACAACCGGGAAAACAACTTTCATACAGACAAATCTACTCAAGGATAACATTGCTGTGGCGAAAACAGTGGAATGGGATTCATTTCAAGTCCCGAATGATGTGTAGCATCGCCTGCAGGCGTGGCTTAATGTCTTGGTGAGAGGAAGCTAGCAAGGGTAAAGATGGAGTTGCTCTATGTCAAGGAATTAAGCTAGTCTTTGTTGGCAATTAGCATAAATGGGATTGGCGATGGTTTGGATGGCTTGGTTCTTTCTTTAGTCTTTTTATCCATGTCTATTATGTTTTGTGAGGTGCATTTATTATTATTATTAATTTTCTGTTTTTTTTTTTAATCAGTTTTGCATACTTGTTTGAACTAATTTTCGCCATGTAGTTTGGTCAGGGTTGGCTTGTAGCTAGTCGTCTTTCCTTTGTGCTCTCCTCAATTCTTTAGTTTCATCAATGCAACAAGTTCCTTTTCCTAACCAAAAGTAATAATAGTAAGGAATCATAGTTGAGCACCCCACTTGCATGTTAAATATTATTCATAAAAATGCATCGAGTGCTTAAACAATGTTAAAAATTGGATTAACGCCCAAAGGTTTCGATGAATGTCATTCGTAGAGGGTTAATGTTGTTTTAGTGATAAGACGAGACCCTTTAAGATTTCAAATGTGATATTTGTTCTTAATTATTTAATTTAAATAATTTACAAAATATCAACTCTATTAATTAACAATATTTGTTCTTAATTTTTTTTTTTAGTTTAGTACCTAGCTACCGACATTCCCTCTCCTTACCTTCCCAATCTCTCTCATTCCCCTATTTCATATTCTATTATTATTAATAATATTATTATTATTTTGGGTAAATTGCACTCCTCGTCATTCTTTTTGCCGGAGGAGCTATTGGTGGTCGATAGAGGGATACTGGCAGTGGAGGAGATGATGATTAGGGCAAGTTAATTCGCATAATTTGGAGGAAAAATGTTGCAGTGCAGTTATGTTGGATTTGTAATTGAGATGAGTAAGGGAATGAAAGTGGGTGTGAGATAAGAGAAGAGAATCGGTGGGAATAGTGAGATAAAAACAACCATTGCTATTTTTAATTTTTTTCTACTCTAGTGGTGATTGTTGTGGTGTTGTTTGAGTTTGGTTGTTGTGGTGTTGTTTGAGTCTAGTTGTGGTGGTTATGGTGATGTCTAGGGTGTTTCAAAATTTAAATTTTAATTTTAATTTTTTCTATTGTGGTGATGGTGGTGGTTCTGGTAATGTCTGGGTGTGTTGGTGTTGTTTCGTGTAGTGGTGGTTCTAGTAGCATTTGAGACGTATAAGTATGAGTTGGCTATGACTGTTTTCAATTTTTTATTTTTTTATTTTTTGGTGGTGGTTGTGGTGTTTGGGTGTAGTTGTTGTGGTTATAGTGATATACATATTATCTGGCTATTTCAAAAAAAATTAATTTTTTTTTCTTTTTTATTTTTATGTTGTTGTGGTGGTGGTTATGGTAATATAAGTATTGTTATACATAAACTATACCTATATGTATAGAAAGATGATGATGAGGTTAGTTTGGTCCATTAAAACTAGTTAGGGAGTTAAATTTATAATTTCATGATTTAAATGGAGTTGTTGACAAGTTAAAGAGATAAAAGGTAATTTTATATGGTCTCGGAGGTATGAAAAGGGTGTCAATACACATTTTTGAATCCCCAAAAAGTGTCAATATAAAAAAAGCCATTAATCATTCGTTGAGTGCTGTTGACCAAAACCTTAGGGGGTGTCAATGCAATTTATCCACAAAATGAGAGAGAAAGAGAGATTGGATACTTACGAATTTTTTGCACTGTGTTCACCCATCTCTTTGCAAAGGTGAGTCCTAATCTCAGGGTTTTGGAGATTTTCAAGTAGTTATTAACCTCTGGCCCCCATGTGTTTCTTCTACTAGACTCGGCATAAGATTGATTTCCCTCTTGTCCTGTGTTCCTCTTGTTCGGTTGATCAAGGGTTACTTAGGGAGCATTATGGTTTGGGGGCCTAAGCCTAGGCTACTGGATAAGACCATTAGGATTTGGGCCAAGAATGGGCTGACCGTCTGTCGGAGGTGGTTGTGGTAGCACGTCGATCTATTGGGTAGTTGTTCGGTGTGCGTTACTCTCCTGATGTAGGAGGTTGATTTGTACTAGGTTGGATTGACGTAGGACATCAAACTGTTGTAAAAACTCTTCACGCATCTTTTGCATGATCTCCAACTGTTGTTGCTGAACAATGTTTGCTCCAATTGCCATCCCAAAACGATGTCGCATGTATCAAATTGCAAAAAAATAATGAGAAACTTCTCTCATTTTTCATTGACTGAACCAAATTGTAGGTACAAAAATTTGTTTGACTAGGAAAAGTTAAGATCAATGCAACACGTACACTTAAAGAAATAATGAAGAATAAAGAATAGCAATTCACCAAAGAGTCAAGTGACCCAACAAAATCAAACCCCTACTTCTCAAAGGAAGATTCGAGAAATATTTTGAGAAAAAATTAATTTTTTATTAAAATTTTTCGCTTTCCGTATAACTAAACTAACAACTATTGCAAAAATTTGGTTTCTTTTTCTTTTTAGCCACTTCACCTAACCAAACTTCTTGGGAAGGTAAAAAAACATACAACAGGTTACCGCCTTTCAAGGTGAACTCAACTATTGAGAGTCAATCTAGTCTTGACATAAAACTTTCCAAAAGCTGCTTTAGTGCTTTACCGACCTTATCTTTAATTACAGCAGCACTGAATCCGTGTTTGAAGTCCGAAAGTTTTGCCTATTTAACTCTGATCAATATTAGAGCGTTACCATATGTATTGTTACAGTATTAGGTTTAGTTCAAGGCTTCAAGCAAGTGTGTTTTTTATTTATTTTTCACTGTCTTCTGTTTGGTATTATATGGAATTTATATTGTATTACTTACTTAATTTTGTGAAAAATATTGTTGATATAAATGGAAATCTTGATTAAGTGTGTAACCGATAAATTTTTATTTATTTATTTATCATTGTTACTGATAAATTAGAAGAGCAAGAAGATGTAATAGTAAAACTTGTTCAGGATTGGAAACCTCCATGCTCCAGAGGTCCCTCTTTATGATGTTCTGGGTGGCTTGGTTGTTGGTTCTTACTTAGTCCTTTTATCCATGCCTGTTATGTTTTGAGAGTTTTGTTTTTTTTAATCATTTTTGTATATTTGTTTGAACTAATTTTTTATATGTAGTTTGATCATGGTTGACTTGTAGTAGTCTTTACTTTATGTCATTTAAGATATATCTATATCTTATGTTAAAGGCACTCTGTTTAATTTAATAAAAGTTAAGAAACTGCACAGTTTTAAAATAAAAAAACTTTAAAATACTTTATCAATTTATACTTCAACTTAAATCTAAATCTGAATCAACATAAAAATGTATCTAGTTATTACCAACTAAAGATTTAGTATTTTTAAATAATGAAGAACATTTATTTTTTGTTGATATCATGCCAAATTATGCTCAAAACTTAAATTTTACAAAATTCATCTAACCAGACACTATATATTATTAAATTGAAAACTTACAATTCAAGTTTTTTTAATCAAATCACCTTCTTCATCCAAAATAATACTATTATTTCAAAAAAGGGAGAGTGAGCAATCTTTTTTGGGGAAAAGAGGAGAGATCTTCTATGAGAGAGATGTTTACGTCTTCGTAAAACTTTTTATTTTAAAAAGTGTAATTTTCTAAATTTTATTAAATTAGCTGACGTGGTTAAATATAGATCGTAGATATATCTTAATGACACATGTCATTATGTAGAAAATTTAACTTATGATAATTTAGAGAAATTTTAACTTAGAGGATCCCAGTCCCAGTTATCTCGTAAAGCAATCCTTCTCTATTACTTAAAATGTTTTTATTTTTAAAAAAAAATTGTGTTACCAAATTTAGTTTAGTAAAGTCTTTGAATGAGAAAAAAAATACATACAACATACAACTTTCATATACAACATATCTATTATTTAATGAATTTGACTTTCACTTCATGGGTCTGAACATTCCAAAAAAACAAGAACAAAAATCCAAAAAAAAAGAAAACCAAGGAAACAAAGCAGAATAAGAATTATAGAAAATGATGCAGTACAATTAAAAAATGAATTCTTATTTCGGTCAAAAGGTAAATTTGTGAATCTTTTTATTTGATACTAACAATCCTTTAACTTTTGACAAGATTTGGGGCCGACGAAGAACATATAATATACCAGTCAGAGGAAAGGACAAAACGATTTCTTTCCTGATGCAGAAAAGAAGTAAAAAAAAGTATTTTAACTTCAGTCAAAGGTAAAGTTAAATTTTATAATAATATACTATGTATAATATATTATATAAAATATAACGTATATAGTGATATTCGTACGTATGGTAAAATAAAGTGCAGCTGAGAATATCTGTAACCGTTATGTATACTTTTTTGTTTAAATCTTATGTATTATAATAGATTTACACAAAAAATTTTGATTATTTATTTTTAACTTCAATGTTTATTTTATATTTTTTTTGTAAAAATATATCCTTCAATAAAATCTCTTATGTCTGGACTCATTATAGTAAGCACTTTTATTCTATTAAAAAAATTTGTAATAATATTGGATTGAGATTTTCTAAATTTCATTCTATGATTCTTTTTCTTTTAACTGTTTTTTTTTTTTTTTTTTACTTATATTAATTTTTGTTAGTATAAACTTGTATATTTTTTTTGTGAACTGTGATTATTTTTATTTATATTTAAAATAAAAAAGTTACTTTTTTTATTCTTAGCCTAAAACTCAAATTAGTTTAAGCTGCCCCTGATTAAATCAGATGGAGCCGTCCCCTCCCTTTTGGGAGGTAAAATACAATAAAGCAGCTTTTGGTAGACTTGACATAGACCTTCCAAAAGCTGCTTTAGTGGCTTTACGAACCTTATCTTTTATTACAACAGCTCTGAAGTCCGTTTTTGAAGTCCGAAAGTTTGCCTATTTATCTGCATCTTTGCTCGCTATCAGAGAAATTATTATCCCATCTTTAAGTGTTAGGGTTTATTTCACTGCTTCAGGCAAGTGTACTTTCTATTTATTTTTCACCGTGTCTTCGGTTTGGTTTATATGTTATTTATGGTACTAAGTACTTAATTTTGTGAATAGTTTGGAACCTAGCTAGTGCTGATAGAAATGGAAATCTTGATCAAGTGTGCCATTAGATGTCCAAAAAATGGTACTGATGACTTGGAGAAAGAAGATATGGTAGAAAAACTTCTTCAGGATTGGAAACCTCCAGAGGTCCCTCTTTATGATGTTTATCATAGGAAAGGAATTTCTTGTCTGTGTAATGTTTTCCATAAGACTTTTGGATCGAAATCAGGTGGCTATGCGATCAAAACCCTAGAAAAAACGGTGTTGATCCAAAATAAAGGCCAAGTTGAGCTTCAATTGCATGCAAGCCGTACCATCCAACAGCACAAGATGAGCTACAACTACCTCCATACGGGGTTAGTACAAGTGGGTGTGAAGCCTTTAACTAGAAATGCTTTGAATACATCTGTGCTGGTTTTTCTTCGCGACGGTCGATTTCTCAAGTTCCAAGCCTATCTATTAGCCACCATGGAGACCTCTCTCAGTGATGGACCAGTTTATTTCAATTGTTTTCCCGACTATTTAGTGCCATTAGAGGATGCCTCACACACTTGGAAACTGTATGTTAGAACTCAAAATGGGGATGATGAAGATAATAATCAGGAGGGCTCAAAAGATATTGCTATTGTTTATAGGGTTTATTACAAAGTAATGAAATCATTTTCTGCTAGGGGATCGAAAGTGTCACACACAACCGGGGAAACAACATTCATACAGACGAATCTACTCAAGGATAACGTTGCTGTGGCGAAAACCGTGGTCCCGAATGAAGTGTACGCAGACTTGAACATGAAGCCGAGCTAGCTACTATATATGCATTTATCAATCCTGCAGGCGTGGCTTAATGTCTTGGTGAGAGGAAGCTAGCTTGGGTAAGAGATGGAGTTGCTCTATGTCAACGAATTAAGCTAGTCTTTCTTTGCAATTAGCATAAATGGTATTGGTGTGGTTTGGATGGCTTGGTTTTCTTAATCTTTTTATCGATATCTGTTATGTTTTATGAGTGCGTTATTATTATTATTATTTTTTATCAGTTTTGTATATTTGTCTGAACTAATTTACGTTATGTAGTTTGGTCATGGTTGGCTTGTAGTCGTCTTTTCCTTTGTGCTCCTCAATACTTTAGCTTCATCAATGCAACAAGCTCCTTTTTCTAACCAAAAGTAATAATAATGAGGAACGTGGTTGGCTTGTAGTCGTCTTTTCCTTTGTGCTCCTCAATACTTTAGTTTCATCAATGCAACAATCTCCTTTTTCTAACCAAAAGTAATAATAATAAGGAATCATAGTTGAGAAACCCACATGCATGATATATATTATAATATGTATGTATATATTCATAAAAATGCATTGAGTGCTAAACATTCCCCTAATATATATATATATATATATATATATATTGCATTGAGTGCTTAAACAATGTAGAGCACCTACATACAAAAAAAAAAAATAAATAAATAAAATGAAAAATGAAAAATTCCTTCTATGTCACTTAGATGTGAGTAAATCGTTTTTTTTAGTAATGATACCTGTGATTTTAAATGTCATATTTATTATTGATTATTTATTTAATTGAAGAAATTACCTTCGTTATTAAGCCTTTTTCACTACCCTAATCACAAACATTTTTTTTTTTTTTTTTTTTTTTCTTAATACCTCGCCGCCGACACTCCCTCTTTCCTTCTTCAATTGTCAAATATTATATATATCTATATATATATATATATATATATATATGCATGCGTGTGTGTGAATGGGATATCCAATGATCCAATAGGAAAACCCTAAACACTTTGAAATGATCCAAAAGGAAAACGCTAAACACTTTGAATTGGAATTCAATTTTGTTTTTACTTATAGAGATGAAAACGAAAGAGGCAGATAAACATCATGTTCTGTCCACATGATAGGAGTTTATTATTTTACGCATGACTTGTCTTGTTTATTCATACTATTTTTTGCATCCAAAAACAGACTATATTATTTAGGTTCAATATATCCGCACTGTTTGTTCTTTACAATATTTCTACTCCTATTTATTACTATTATTTAGGTTCAAGACCAGGTCCAAGAATCTCCAACAAGAACCCCCTTCCACTGGAGGGGTACGTACCAGCGAGGAACATCAGATAATCATAGATGATGAGGAGGAACTGATTGTCGAGTGCTGTGGTGGTGCCGGGCATGCAAGACTCTTTGGCGAAGAAGCGAACCCCACAAATCATTGTCGACACCATCGGAGATGAGAGACCCGTATGTGAAGGGTACAGAGGAGAGAAAGAGGAGAAGAGTTAAGAGCTCAGGATGAAGATGAAGAGAGAGAGAGAATGGTTTTTTGTTTCTTAGTATGTCCATTTAGGTAATCTCAGCTTCTTGAATTTTTTTTTTTTTTTTTTTTATTATACTTCGTATCAGTAAAATAGAGGTATTGTTATCTTTTTCATTCGGCAAGTAATTTTAACCTGACAAAAAGTTCTTGTTTGTACACTTTTAAAATTACATGGATGAGTTTTAAATATGAAAAGTGTTATTTGTATGCTTCTAAAATTATGTAGGTATTTTTTTTTGCCTTCACCCCCTAAAAAAACATTTGGAAAGACAATTGGTTGCCGTCCAAAGGTTTCTACCTACCTGCCAAATTCTCCATTTCAGAAGGTTGTAGAGTTGTTGGATTAGAACAATAATTCTTGGAATAGTGCCCTTATTCGTCAGTTTTTCAACAATAGGGACTTTCATCTTATTCATCACATCCCTCTTAGGTCCTCTGGAGGGGCCGATCGCATTTCTTGGTGTCCTTCCCCAAATGGGAAATTCTCGGTTAAATCGGCCAACAAGCTCATTCGAATGGGGAGGTCTTCGGTTTATCACAACCTTCCTTCTTCAAGTCATGTTCAAGAACGAAATGGCCTTTGGAAAGCCATTTGGCTTATTAAAGTTCCACGTAAAATTCTTTTCTTTCTTTGGCAATGCTGTTACGACCGCATCCCTGTCCAGGCTAACCTCCGTGCTAGAGGTATTCCAGTTGATCCTAGTTGTTATTTTTGTGGTGAAGAGGAGGAAACAGTTTGCCATCTCCTTTTTCGTTGCCGCTTCTCTCAGATGGTGTGGAATACTTCTCCTCTCAGAATTGAGGAATTTGATCCTAGCTTGACGAAGTGGAGTCAAATTTGGCTCCATCTCAACAATTTCTGGTCCCATAGCCATCACTCTGTTGAGTTGAGTAGTCTTGGAGCCTTGTTGTGTTGGCATATTTGGAAGGCGAAAAATGATGGGGTATTCAAGAATATTCGTAGAGATGTAGCCGAAGTGGTTTCTATTGCGGTTTCTGATCTCTCAGATTTTGATGCAGTTTTTAAGTTCAAAGATTTTTTCTCTCCAGTCCTGGATCGCCATCTTTCTGCTCCTTCCCAGTGGTCTCCTCCACCTGTGGGTTTCTTGAAACTTAATCTAGACGTTTCTTTTTCTTCTATCTTTTTGGAGTGCGGAGGCGGTATCATCCTTCGAGATGAGCTCGGCAGGCCTATAAAGATTGCTTCCTTGTTCTTCCATCGTGTGAGTAATGTGGAGTTGGCTGAAGCTTTGGTGCTTCGGGAGAGTCTGAAGCTTGCTCATGCTTGGGGTTACTCAAAAGTTATTTTTGAAGGAGATTGTAAATCGGTGATGTCTTTAAGGCCTAATGCTATTTTTGTCTCAGTTGTTTTGGAGGACTTTGCATCCATGTTTCAAGTCATGGAGGGATGCAGTCTCTCTTGGATTCCTCGCTCTTGCAGCAGTGTTGCTCACTCTTTGACTCATCGTGCCTTGAAGTCCAGGAGCTCTGATCTAGTTTGGGATGTGTGGCCAGCTTGGCTCCTTTCATCCATTTTCAAGGACCTTGGGGTGTTAAAAAAAAAAAAAACAAGTCTAACTTTGTAAAACATTCACTAAACAAGTCCAACTTTATAAATATACAAAATATTTCCTGTCGGGTCGCTTGGTCCACTTTATTTCTCGCCAAATGACTCTGTGGGCAATAGAGTCATTTGACAAAAAAATTCTCCATCGTGACACGTTAATACGGAGTATAATATTAGATGGTCCTTTAGCAATATGGACTTCTGCTAGAAGCTAACGTGGCCACGTTGGAGGGAGATAAGTGATACTATGGTCTAACCAAACCAATCTTAATGAAGGTAAATTTGGGGCCGAGCTTTAGGAAACTTAAGCGGAAGTCTCTCAACTGATGATAGGAAGGTCCAAATTTTTTAAAAAAATTTATATTAAATTAGATTATTATATTTTTTAATATTATTAAACGTCAATAAATACAAAATTTTTACATTAAGCCTGACTTGACATAAAACCTTCCAAAAGCTGCCTTAGTGCTTTACCAACTGTATCTTTTATTACAAGAGCTCTGAAGTCCGTTTTTGAAGTCCGAAAGTTTCGCCTATTTATCTTCATCTTTGTTCACTATCAGAAAAATTATTATATTAAAGTGTGTTGACACCCATTTTGATAAATTTTGTATTGATGACGTGGCAATAGAGAAGAGTGATATTCTACATAGATTGAAGTTAAAATTGCATGCAAAGATGGGAAGAGTATTTTGAATAAGTGGTGGATAAAGATCATTATTTTAAGACTTATCTTTTAGTTAGTTTTAGTTGCATAATTATGTTATCCATAGGATTAATTTATTTTGAATTAATAGTTGATTAAGTGACGGAGTTGTAATGGAAGTAAAATACTTACATATAGGAGTTTGTTTTACGTAGTTTTTTTATAAATAATGCTATAGGCATACTTTGTAAGATGTCCAGCACCCTCAGAATCCTTTAATTTATTTGTTTGCTTTCTTAAGCACTTTCCCCAAATAGCATCATTGTTATCTTTATCTCACTCTCTCTATTTCAGTCTCATTCTATTTCTCTCCCCATATCTCTTTCTCCCTATTTCTTCTCCCTATCACTTTCTATATCTATTTCTTCCCCTTTCTATTCTCTTAATACGTTACTATAAATTGTTCACTGGAAAGTCCTTTTAACTAAGGCATTTTTGAACCTAAAAGAGGAATTTATTTGTTCCATTTTTCCTCGCATCGTCTGAGAGTCAACTTTGTCAAAGGGACTGAAGTTGACAATTCATAATCGAATCACCCAAGTGATTCTGGCACGCCCGCAACTCATCAATTTAAGATTGGCTCTAGCCAGCCGATTTTAGGGTCAACATTTTTGGTACGCCCGGTGGGACACCACTAGGTGAGTGATTTATAGTAAAAATATGAAACCGGCTTCTCAACCGGCATACAAATATTCTGATAAGTCAAATCAGCCGATGTACCAATATTCTAATCAGCCATATGGTTGGCCAGACAATTATCAGCAATCAGTCGCTGATTATCGGCATGTTCCAGCAACTGATTATCGGTATGTTCCAGAAGTCACTGATTATCGACAAGTACCGATCGTTAATAATCGGCATGTTCTAACAGAAGTCGATTATTGATAGACGCCAACAACCGCTGATTATCGGCATGTTCCAACAGTCACCGATTATCGGCAAGTTTCAACAGCCAATTATCGGTATGTTCCAACAGTTGATTATCGGCAAGTACCGATAGTCGATTATCGGCAGACTCCAACAGTCGCTGATTATCGGCAAGTTTCAGCATCAGATTATCGGCAAGTTTCAGCAGCCAATTATTAGCAAGAAAGTTGGCCAGAATGTAAGCAGAGGATGAAAACAATAATGGCTCAAATACGAGAAGAGCCAACAGTCGCTGATTATCGGCAAGTTTCAGCATTAGTATATCAGCAAGTTTCAGCAGCTGATTATCGGCAGACGCCAGCAACCGATTATCGGCAAGTAGTAAATCAGCATGTCACCCCCGTATCACAATCTTCGGTACTCGAGGGGCAGCAGATGGCCAATCAGCAAAAAAGTTGGCCAGAATTTAAGCAGAGAATGAAAACACTAATGGCTCAAATACAATGCCCACCAGTTATGCCGATTCCCCCTTAGAGAGAACAGCAAGAAATGGGGGAGATTGATTAGGAGATTAAAGAATTGATAGCTCAGCTGATCCAGGGCGAGGTAGCTCAAGGGCATAAACGTGCTCAGCCTATATACAAGAAACCTTATCCTGACCAAGTGGTAAATCATCATGTCACCCCTGTATCACAACCTCTGTTATATGAGGGGCTGCCGATAACCAGTACCAAAATTGGCCAATTTTGCCAATCTCGGCAGGAAATTTTACCAGAAAATCGGCAGCAAAGTTTGCCAGAATATTATCAGTTACTAACTGCTGATTATCGAGAAGTTTCAGCAGCCGATTATCGGCAGGCGGTAAATCAGTCACAACAGATGACTTATCAACAACAAAGTTGGAAAAGCTATCAGCATGTTACTGATGAATGGAAGGGTACAAATCGGCTGAAAGCAAAGCGGCCTATGTACCAGAATTCTTTGCCGATTGTAACATTTAATAATCGGCAAAAACAATCATCAGCTGAAAGAATTGTTCTAACTCGCTGTCCTCAGCCCAATTTCAAGAAAAGAAGGAAAAAACTAGCCAATGTTAATTTCAGAAGGTTACTTAGATCTCAGTTGATAAAATCGGCTGAGGCAAAATCAGCTAAAAGAAAATCGGCTGAAAAACCAGCAGCTGCCGGGGGGCATGTAATTGTAAACCCCCAACAAAAGTTAGTTGATCCATTTGCTCTACTTCAGTATGCCGATTATAGTGGGTCATGCTTGCCGAGAAATGGACTTTTGGGCCCGATATAGTCCTGCCGATGAAGCTGAATGTGAAATCGACAGAAAGGAAATCGGCTAAGAAAACTCCGTCCTGGCACAATGTCATAGAGATAATAAGCAGATCGGCTAGAATGACACTTCACAACAATTTAATCCCTGCCGATCATGATCATGATTTGTTAATGGAGTTAGAAAATGCATGGGGAACAAGTCCTTCCTGGGTTTATGGGCTGGCAATATCGGCAAATTATCTGAAAATCTAGAAAGAAGTCTAAATCGACAGATTTGGATAATAAGAAATAAAGATCATCTTAGAGGGCGATTCAGAAGAAATAAAGCTTTGGAGCTCGCTGATTTGCAATCTTATTCCAATTGATTAACTCAAAATTTCCTTCCAATGTATTTTAAAATTTCAAATATCTTATCGGCTTGGGCGGCTGACAGCCGATAAGACATTTTGGTACCCATTTTGGTAAATTTTGTATTGATGACGTGGCAGTAGAGAAGAGTGATATTCCACGTAGATTGAAGTTAAAATTGCATGCAAAGATGGGAAGAGTATTTTGAATAAGTTGTGGATAAAGATCATTGTTTTAAGACTTATCTTTTAGTTAGTTTTAGTTGCATAATTATGTTATCCATAGGATTAATTTATTTTGAATTAATAGTTGATTAAGTGATAGAGTTGTAATGCAAGTAAAATACTTGCATATAGGAGTTTATTTTACGTAGTTTTTTATAAATAATGCTATAGACATGCTTTGTAGAGGTCCAGCACTCTAAGAATCCTTTAATTTATTTGTTTGCTTTCTCAAGCACTTTCCCCAAATAGCATCATTGCTATCTTTATCTCACTTTCTCTATTTTAGTCTCATTCTATTTCTCTCCCAATATCTCCTTCTCCCTATCACTTTCTATATCTATTTCTTCCCCTTTCTATTCTCTTGATACGTTACTATAAATTGTTCACTGGAAAGTCCTTTTAACTAAGGCATTTTTGAACCCAAAAGAGGAATTTATTTGTTCCCTTTTTCCTCGCATCGTCTGAGAGTCAACTTTATCAAAGGGACTAAAGTTGACAATTCACAATCGAACCACCCAAGTGGTTCTGGCACGCCCGCAACTCATCAATTTAAGATCGGCCCTAGCCAGCCGATTTTAGGGTCAACAAAGTGTTACCGTTACCATATATAATGTTACAGTATTGGGTTTAGTCCAGGGCTTCAAGCAAGTAAGTGTATTTTTTATTTATTTTTCACTGTGTCTTTGTTTGGTTTATATGTTATTTATATGGTACTAATGACTTAATTTTGTGAATAGTTTGGAACCTAGATAGTGTTAATAGAAATGGAAATCTTGATCAAGTGTGCCAATAGATGTCCAAAAAATGGTATTGATGACTTGGAGAAAGAAGATGTGGTAGAAAAACTTCTTCAGGATTGGAAACCTCCAGAGGTCCCTCTTTATGATGTTTATCATAGGAAATGAATTTCTTGTCTGTGTAATGTTTTCCATAAGAAGGGAACTTTTGGATCGAAATCAGGTGGCTATGCGATTAAAACCCTAGAAAAAACGGTGTCGATCCAAAATAAAGGCCAAGTTGAGCTTTAATTGCATGCAAGCCGTACCATCCAACTGCACAAGATGAGGTACGATGACCTCCATACGGGGTTAGTACAAGTGGGTGTGAAGCCTTTAACTAGAAATGGTTTGAATACATCTGTGTTGGTTTTTCTTCGCGATGGTCGATTTCTTAAGATCAAAGACTCTATATTAGCCACCATGGAGACCTCTCTCAGTGATGGACCGGTTTATTTCAATTGTTATCCCAACTATCCAGTGTCCTTGAAGGATGCCTTAGACACTTGGAAACTGTATGTTAGAACTCAAAATGGGGATGATGAAGATAATAATCAGGAGGGCTCAAAAGATATTGCTATTGTTTATAGGGTTTATTATGAAGTAATGACCTTTGGTTCTAATCGGGGCTTAAAAGTGTCACACACAACCGGATAAACAACTTTCATACAGACGAATCTACTCAAGGATAACGTTGCTGTGGCGAAAACCGTGGAATGGGATTCATTTCAAGTCCCGAATGAAGTGTAGACTTGAACATGAAGCCGATCGAGCTACTATATACTATAACATCGCCTGCAGGCGTGGCTTAATGTCTTGGTGAGAGGAAGCTAGCAAGGGCAAAGATGGAGTTGCTCTATGTCAAGGAATTAAGCTAGTCTTTGTTGGCAATTAGCACAAATGGTATTGGTGATGGTTTGGATGGCTTGGTTCTTTCTTAGTCTTTTTATCCATGTCTATGATGTTTTGTGAGTGCATTTATTATTAGTATTATTAATTTTCTTTTTTTATCAGTTTTGTATATTTCTTTGAACTAATTATCGGTTATGGTTGGCTTATAGTCGTCTTTCCTTTGTGCTCCTCAATACTGTAGTTTCATCAAAATGCAACAAGGTCCTTTCCCTAACCAAAAGTAATAATAAAAAAGAATCATAGTTGAGCACCCCACATGCATGTTATATATTATATGTATGTATATATATTCATAAAAATGATTGAGTGCTAAACATTCCAAAAACAAAATAATGCATAGTACTTAAACAATGTAGAACACCTACAAACATAGCAAAAGAAAAAAAGAAGAACGGTAAATTGGATTGACACCCCAGATGTTTCTGCTTTACAAATATGATATTTTTTTGGGCATTTCACCTTTTGAGATTTCAAATGTTATTTGCCCCTGATTATTTGATTTAAATAATTTACAAAATATCAGCTCTATTAATTGACGAAATTACCCTCATCATTAATTAAGCTTTTTTCTCTATCCTAATCTCCAACTTCTTTTTTTTTTTTTTGGTCAAGTTCATTTTAGTACCTAGCCGCTGACACTCCATCCTTATCTTCCCAATCTCTATCATTCTCCTATTTCTTACTATGTTATTATTATTATTATTATTTTGGGTAAATTGCACCCGTCGTCATTCTTCTTGCCAGTGAAGGAGATGGCGATTAGGGCAAGTTAATTCGCATAATTTGCAGTGCGGTAGTGTTGGATTTGTGATTGAGATGAGTAAGGGAATGAAAGTGGGTGTGAGATGAGAGAAGAGAATTGGTGGGAATGACAAGATAAAAACAACCATTGCTGTTTTTAATTTTTTATTCCGTTCTATTGTGATACAACCTGGTGGTGATGGTGTCTAGGTTAGACATGGCTGTTTTTTTTTTCCCCTGTTGTGGTGGGTAGGGGCTAGCCATGGTTGTTTTTAATTTTTTTTCTACTCTAGTGGTTGTGGTGTTGTTTGGGTGAAGTTGTGGTGGTTACGGTGGTGTCTAGGTTATCAGAGTGCTTCAAAATTTTTATTTTTATATTTTCTATTGTGGTGGTGGTGGTGGTTCTGGTGGTGTCTAGGTGTGTTGGTGTTGTTTCGTATGGTGTGGTTCTGGTGGCATTTGGGATGTATAAGTATATATTGGCCATAACTGTTTTTAATTTTTTATTATTTATTATTTTTTGGTGGTGGTTGTGGTGTTTGGGTATGATTGTTGTGGTTATAGTGGAGTACATGTTATCTGGCTATTTCAAAAAAAAATTGTTAAAAGCTAATTAACTCTAGAGGAGGGGGGTGAATAGAGTCAATGGCCAATTTTTAAATTTACAACTTTAACTACTAAAGAGTTAAGTGCAAAGAACACCCTCCTTATATACAAAAGGTGCAAAAAACACCCTACTATTTTTTTGTGTGCAAATAAACCCCTATTGTATTGTTGGGTGCAAATTAACCCCTAATAAGCCATTTTGACTAATTTATTTTTTGAAAAATTCCAAAATGCCCTCCTAGTCCAGAGAACACCATTTACGACCAAGCCTTCACCTTCGTCGTCACTGTGCTAACTGGGCAATTGCCCGTTGGCATTCCAAGCCACCA